ATTTCTCCCTTTTTTTCTTTTCCCTGACGCTAGGGAGAAGAAGCTTGAAAAAGAAACGTTCTTCTTTGCACGTCGTGTCTATTTTCAAACAAGATAACATACCAACTTGATCTCAACCCATGCCTTTCAGAAGTGCCTAATTTTAGTGCAGGAAAATGCTTGGATTTCCTAATACTTTGTGTAAAATTGCCGCTCTATACGACGACTTTGCACAGGGCAACTGAAAAAATGCTACTGGAAATTGGGCCAAGAGGGAGGAGATTCGTTGCGAAACATGGTCATAGTTATTTAGTCTTAATTCATCATTCACGCACCCCACAGTGCTCAAAATTTTGCATGTTTAAGGAGTGAAATTATTTTTCTTATCTACCTTTTGCTAACTTGTACCCTTAGTGGTCAAGAAATCATAGAAATTCTCGAGAAAATGCGGTGATGGCATTGCGCCTGAAGATATTTCGTATCCGATCACGGTATGAGTCAGGAGGTACTGGTCTGGCATGGGATGGCAGAAAATCAATTGCTGTCACGCGCATTGCATGTGTCCGACAGACAGAAGCAAGGTTGATTCATCATGCTGCAGGCAGCACAGTCAGCTATTTTCGGAGCAGGTCGCCGTATTTTAAGGATTCTAAAAAATTTCCGGTCCCTGCCCCGTCCAACACCATTCACTTACGCCCTACGCCTTCCGCTTAGTGAGCATCTCTATCCTTTGAACGGCATAAACCAGCTGTGAGTGCTTCCTAGAGCAATATGAGCCACATTCGTGTGGAAAATAGTCTGAATCATGGGCGGGATTAGCCATGATATCTATACCGTCGAGCTATCGACATAGTTCTCTACCTATAGTTGGTGGTGGTATAGTGGTTATTTTTACTCTATGGATAAGAATTTAAGAAGCAATTGTAGCCGAGAAAAACTCATTTCCAGCGAACAATTAAAAACGTTGAGCTGACTTTCTACTCTGAAATCACTCTTTATTGATCTACTTAGATTCCGTCAATACGTCCACTGTTTACGTTTGTGAAGCCCGATGGAATCCACTACTCGTTTCACCGCCACCAGCAGCTCCGAAATTTCTCCCGAATGCTAAGCAATCGCTGATCACAGGTGTGAAGCGATGGAGTCCAATGTTAGGTACGCTCCCACACTCCTCAAGTGAATGATAATGACGTGAATTAGGAAATGTTAAGGGCGCCGTTTGGCGACATTGCTTATTTCTGTCGAAGAACAACTCGCTGATGAAATCACACAGAAAATTCTTCACGAAGCCCTCACAGAGACCATGGCTTCACTAAGAGAGGTAGGAGTATTTGTACTTTTCTAACTTTCAGTACTACTGAACCGAAAGAAATGTCTTGTGGAAACCTTTTATAGGGTAGGGGAAGTCTTACCAGCATGGCGTGTCAGCACTTCTAATACTCTTTCTTCTGGGTCGAAATATCTACCGACCACGACACTAGGTTGCGCTGAAAGACCTGCCTCACTTCGCTGACTTTTTTTTCTGAAATAAACCTGAAATATTCCTGGATGGTAGGCCTCTCGGATCACCATTGGACCTTCTGAAGCATTTAACTTCTTTTAAGAATCGATTGTCATTCGACTTCTGCTTCCTGCAGGGCCACCCTGTCATGGATTTTTGCAGCTGGCACCTGTGTTGTAATCAAGAAAGACGTTCTTCCCTAGATTATGTTCGGATGGAATCACGCCTCACAGTTGGAGATACTTCACTCGAAGACGAGCAACATTACGCTGCACTTGTAACAGTGCGGATCACGACACTTAATGTCGTTCTATTGCGCGACGGTATATTTATTACATGAGAAAACTCATGCAAGGGCTTAGTGTGGCCCTCAAAGAAACGAATAAGATAAAACCCAGCATAAGCGGCGACAAGGCAAGATACACGTTTAAAAAAATAGAAGCATAACCATAAGGGAAAATTGTAAAGGAAGGAAATTTTGAAACAAGATATAACCAACAACACTATGCGCGATAAAGTAAAAGGTATATGGGATCGGGTTGAGAAAGAATGGCTGAACACTAATGATAACAAACTTGATGAATGGAGGTTTTTTCTGATAAAGGAAAATCCGTTCTGAAAATCCGTTTTAACTGTCGCAGGAGTTTTCGTCACCCAATTACAAACGACGGATGCTCAATCCGGTTTATGCAATGACATAAGCGGAAGTCGGCGGTTTCGGCGGAAAAGTCGCAAAAAATACAGAATCTTCACTGCATAAATATTAGGTTGTCGGAAAGTCTTTGGCCATTTCGATCTGCATGTTGTAAAATCTCAGGGATAATTTTTGAACATCCATTGTAAAACGTATGTAAACCCTAGTCAATGATCTCTTCAGAGCATTTCTGTCGTGGTTTTCACAGCGATTATGGCTGAGAAAATCGTCTTTGACTGAAAGCATGTTTGGCTGCTCCTCTTTCTAAAACCCAAAAACGCGTCAATGGAAGCGATGCGGCAAGAGCTCACGTCGATGGAACCCCAGAGTGTCTTCACGACATGGTAAACATTTGGTTGCCGAAGTCCAGAAACTCGAGAAAAATGCACAAATTCGGTTGGCTTGTTCCACTGAATGACGAGTGTCTTCTGGAGCTGTTTGGAAACAGTCTCTCGGAGCAATGCACGGGAACTGACGCAGCTTTTTCAAGTTATCAGAACACAATAGCCATTCCTCAATATCTCCTCAAAAAGAAGAGAAATTATGGCAAAAGGAGATTTTGTGATCTGGGTGACAACCGCCGTCAGAGGCCTTCAGATTTTGCATGAACATTTTGATTTACCGTCTGTCTCTTGTTTGACCCGACTACTTTGTTGGTGGTAATCAGAAGTGGGTTCCTCACGTAAACTGCAGTCGGAAGCGCCAGTAGCCCAGACGCGTAGAATCGCCGATTCCAGCGCTGCAACCTGGAAATGACTTCAAGAATTGGT